AATATCATGCAAAATTTATCTTTAAAAATGTTAAGCTTTGAAAACAGACAAAATCATAATATATCTTCAATTTTTTATAGCTTTTTATAGCACAACTTTAAAATATTTTAAACTAACATGTATTGATGTATACTATAATAACTATAATAATTTGAATGATTTGGACTTACCATGTTAATTGCGTTTAAAAAATTGTTAATTTTTTATTACTTTGTAAAATATTTTTTCTCGCTGCTCTTTCTTTTTCTTTTCGCAAAACCACTCGGAACTTTTAGTTTCATAATTGTGGAAAAAACAAAGATTATCAACTGGATTTTTTTTTATTTTAGCACAACAATACGATAAATAATACAGTTCATAATAGTAATGTTAACTGTAACAATATTTAACCGAAAATGTCTAACAAAATTATTATTATTTTCTCGTGTATTATTTAATTTTACTTGCACGAGTTTTAAAATAATAATTATTGATAAAATGATAGTAGATTAATGTATCATAAAGCAACGGGTTGCTATAAATAACTATTACATGCATCGAGATAAGGTATGCAATACTAGAGCCTTCATTGATATCAATAAAAATATTGAATAATTGTAAAATGCGTCTTTTCTACTTGAGTGCTTTTGTAAGTATTTACTATTTAGTTTTTTTTGTTAAAAAAAATAAAAAATAGTGTTTTTATAAAGAATAATTATTCTTTAAAATCATAAAAAAAATGTGTATCAGCTTAGAATTTTTTTTTTTGCCTCTTTCACTTTGGTATTTAAGAGGGCCCCGAAGATTCTGCTTATGCTAGATCCCTCCTTAATTTAGCTTTGTATTTCCTTTTTAAAAAATTTAAAATAATTATAAAACGCATAAAGCATTTTTTAATAGTTTTGATAATAGTAATAATAATTTTATTTCAATTTAATTTAAGAAAATGTTTGAGTAACATCGCGGTGATTTTGATTTTATCCATTTTATTTTAATTTTAAATATTACTTTATCATCTAATAAATATATATTATAATAATACATTTTCAGAAAAAAATATTATTAGAGTATAGGTGCTCTATGGTTGTCACAATATGTGGTTAAATTTAAATACAATAAATTAAAATAATAATATTTTTTTATAGTTGGATTAAACTCTAAACCTTGATTTTTGAACTTAATTTCTAAAATATGTTACATATCATATACAAGGAGGATAATATGTAACATTAAATTATATGAAAACATTTATGTCAAAGTCAAATATAACATATTATATAATATGATATAGAGTCAAAAGTAAATAACTAAATTGTAAACCAATTGAATATTTTTAATTAATAAGAACATAGTAAGTAATATTAGTAAAAGTGCTAACCTCATAGTTCACAAAGAATTATATGGCAACAATTTATTACAAAATGTCATATTATTACCTTTATATACTAACTGTGATTGAAATCTGATCAAAGGATCGCATTATAGTATAATTTTAATACTATGTATTATAAAAATATTATTTACGAAAAATACTATTTCTAAGTACTTTGAAAAAAAATAGTTAGCTAAATAAGCGTAATAATAATTGTAACTTATGTTTTTTTTTTTTTACAGCGTAACCTAGCTACAATATAATATAGTAATAATAATATCGTAATCGTTTTTTCACAAAATTGTGTATTCCATTACCTCGTCGTAAATTAGAAAAGCATAATTTAATCCTGAAACAAGTATTTTGATAATGGCGTCAACTAAACTGAATAATTTTTCATTGATCATTCCGGCTGGTCACTTTTCTAGCAGAGTGACGAACCTCTATCTGTCTCCCTTCAAAATATTGGTAATCGTGCTGCTACTGGTGTTACATGAATTATTTACCGTAGTTGTAATCGCCGCACCATTGAATCCAGAAATCAAATGGACGGCGGTGGTCATACCCATCACTTGGTCACCAAACACTACCCGTCAAGACCAAATTACAACACAGCTCGAACCACGCCAAAAATGGTGGAACTTAATTGCCTTGGCTTATTCTAGTCATAGTAAATAGGCGTGGACAGTGGCAAAGTCTTTTCCTCCCCTCTACAATACTTGTCGTGGATTTTCTTGCCATGGCAAGGACTTGAGTAAAAACCACGATGGTAGAAGCCGCTATGATAACCACTGTGGTAAAGACCAACATTGGAAGCACTGTAATAAGAACCAGTGCGATAATCCCTTTGACAGAGATCGCCATAAAAGGCACTCTGCTAAAAACCGAAACGGCGGTAGTCGTCATGGCATAAATTTCCGCACACAAAACAACCAACAGCAAATGAAAAACGGCAATAAGCACAGAAAGTTTATCGTGGACAATAATGTTAGTTAGTTTCATTGTATATGTAATTAGTTTTTTTTTTAAAGCAGCGAAACTGGTTAGTGGTAGGGCTAACTTATTTACAATCATTTTCGGAAAGATTGTAAACGATTTTTTAGGTAAAGCGCGTATGTCAGTCAATCTTATATAGTTCTATACATTTGTGAAGTCATCCTGGACTTTTAAATTATTATTTTCAAAACAATACTTACCATTCTAGAAAACCATAAAAATACTACCTTACCTATTTGTGTTATTGAAATATACTTGGTGTATGCAAAGTTTATCTAATGGAAATTGAGAATGTAATGTAAATTGCAATAAATTAAATTAATATAGTAGACGAAGGGAAAGTCACAAGTGAATCAGTTACGATTGCGCTAATTTTTGGATGGTTATGTTTATTTATTATAATATCATATATAAATTAGTAATTATAATTGTCTGTAGGCGATTGAAATGTTGAATTGACATTGTTTTAAATTTAAATAATCAGGTTTATCGGTGTTGCTATGGTAGTTTTATAAATTAATAATAATTGATTATAATAGGAAAGTGAATAAATCATGTTCCACACAAAATATTGCAATAATCATATGTAATTTGATAATCATAAATCGAGCAAATAAATGTTAGTTAAGCTAAAAATGAAAATAGGCATTTTTTAAATTTAAAAATATTACACATAAGAGTATTTTAATTGAACGATTGCAAGCAATTGTATGTATCATTATATTGTGTCTATAATTACTCGCAGACTTGCAGTTATTTTACTATAGTAAGTAGAACAGAGTCATAAATTATAATTTATGACATTGTTACTTTTCGAGTACAATTGAAATTGCCGTTTTAACGCAGTGAGATCGTGACTTATACGAGTTTGGGTCACCAGATCACATGTTGAACATCGCATATTATGAGTCATATTAATAAAATAGTTTTCATACTTATAAATTGAGCACAAGTTCTTATACTGATGTATCATTTTATTTTGCAGATAATCTTCAACATCAATAATGATCAAACGATTCAAACGCCTAGTCCAACACTATTGCAGGTAGAAACAACAGTACCGATGCTCGTCTTAGCCACGCAAGGAAATGTTGAGCAGAGTAGTAGTATCTATAGCTTATGGGGGCTATCGACATATGTTTACTGATATACTGTATATGTTTTATGATAGCCTTATACCTAATGCGTGTGTAAAATTGCATTTTTTTTTTCGTTTTTTAATTTTTACAAAATATTTATGAGAAAACATTATAACAATAAGAATATTATATTTATTAGCTCACTATATAATTATAATAATTGTTAATATATACCCATGTAACTTTGTCTTAATTCATTGTATGATTTATCGATTACTCGAATGATATAATCGAACGATGCACAGCAAACTATAACTTTACTTTAATTATAAACATACAGGATATTACATAAATTTGTTCATTTACCGGTATTTTATAGGATTATAGCAAGCTCGGATTAAGATATTTTTGGACCCGGGTTCAAACAATTTTAGAGGCCCATATCTATAATCAAAATATTTTTACAAAAAAAAAAAAAAAAACCAAAAAACGTAAAATCTACCAAGAGCCCACTATCCTTTGATATCCGTTGTGGACCCGGGGCCCTCCTTAATCCGGGCTTAAACATGTAAAGTTTTATCTATGCTATATTTTAGTCAACACATCTTTTACATTTTTTGTAAAGACTTTCATTGCCAAAACTGTTGCAATGTTACATAACAATTTAATATTTTATGTTAATAAGTATTATTACCATATTAATCATCATTACGGTTAGGTCTTGAACAACGACAGCGCCACACGTAGGTTCTACGTAACATTCGAGAATGTTAAATCTATAACGTTCCTAAACATATAGTTATAACATTGAACAATTGTAACTATGGACAACCGTTTACACACACCAACCACACTTTGCGTACAACGCACCTGTCTTTAGCTGTGTCAATCGTCGCAAAATCATCACTTCTTTTCATAAGATTGTTTTTGTAGTTATTTTTTTGTTGGTTTCCGATCATATTAATTTTAATTTCAATCATTTGCAGTGCTGTAATTTTGATATTTTAATATTTTGAAATATTTGCATGTTTTTTGTATAGAAGGAATTAAATTTTTTAAAAGTTTGTTTTACATTATTATTATTATTATAGTGCACGGCGCGATAGGTAAATATACAACTCTATTTAGCATATTTTTGCGTAATTTGGGATTTGAGCATATATACTCAAAGCTGCATATTGTAATCTTTATATATTCTAATCTTGGCGCGTACGTTCAGTAATTTATTTTGACAAATTACGTGTAAAAAATGATTGACAATAATTTCAATATTTTGCATTGTTTTTACCCTGTTTTCTTTAACGTTTGCCCATTTTTTATGATTTACATGGATTTATTTAATGCATTTTTTTTCATCATAATTCTTCATTAGTATTTTTGAATTGAATGTAAATAAAATAATTAATTTAACCTTTGGTTTTTTATTACATATTTTGTTATTGCTTATTATAGAGTTGCGTACTTATTCGACATCTGTTAATAAGTGTATTTAATTCACAGCAATTCTGGTCTAATTATACCTTAAATCTATAAAATCATACACAAATCTTCTCTTATAATGAATCTTTCAGAAAATGAATACAAGCTACACATACAGTAAGCTGAGGCGCGAGTACGGCCGACAGTGCTCATTCGTGAAATCTGGCCCGACGACATTGGTCAATGTGACACCAGAACCAGGCCTGGAAGAACAACTGTGGTCACTAGAAAATCCGGTGGACAAGAGCACCAACAAAAGCAATGATTGGTCAGAGCACGAAGTAATTTTAATGATGCGTCAACGTTTTTTTTTTTTTTTTTTTTTTTTTTTTTATTGAATTGAACTGAATTATTGTTTTAATTAGTGTTATTAAAACTCGAAATAAATTAAAATTAGTTTAGTCCAATCAAACAATATAAAAATTGAAACTAAAGAGTGTCATTGCCTAACCTATTCAAATACATATTTAGTCATTCTTCTAGAGCTGAAAAGCGACTCAATTTTGTTTCACTATCACTTTCTCAAAGATAGTTTTGTTACAATTGAAGAAGTTTCAAAAAATTTGAACTAAATGAAGTCCAAATTTATATGATTCATATAATATGTTATCCTATAGAATAAAAAAAAAAAATAATAGGAAAATTCATGTTAAGATAATATATTTTAAATTCGATTTGTATACGTAAATTAATGCTAAGCCTGAAATCATACATTTTGTGAAACATAGTTACAGTATATATATTTTTTTTAAGTGAGTTCAATATTAAAAATCATCTTATTTAAATATTCTATAGTTATAAATCATTTTGTAAGAGTTTAAGTCTGCAGACGATGTATATTATACTTTCTAATGAATGTGGACCGCTACAGTATAATTTATACGACCTATGTAGAACGAAAGACTAATAACTATAATACTTGGTTTATAGTAGAATATATATATATATTGTTATAACTACGTTATGAAACAGTTTAATGACTATATTTACAGGAAACGTTTCGAAACCATAATACGGCAAAGAATACAGTAAAGTTATACTTGTAAATAATGTTATCATTAATCATTATAAACAACACAGCCATAAATAAAGTCAATATTTCTTTTCCTTTATATCACTCTAATAGTATTAACATAATACTCATTATCGAAATCCACAAAAATAAAACCATACAAGGTTAGGCTAGGTTTATGTTATGAAAACAAAATATTATAGTGTATCTTATACGGAGAGAAAATTATGTAAAATTATATTAATCTACACTATCTATACATAACAGAGAAGAGTGTTGTAAATTCTTCATTCACTCGCAAAACAATAGGCTTGATGTATTTGACAATTACACAAAGGAGACAAAGATTTTAACACAAGAGATGCAATGTGCACATTGCAATAGATACGAAGTTGAATTAGGCGTAGTATATCAAATTACGTCAGTAGACCGGTTATACAGTACTCTATACGATAGTTTACCAATTGCGCTTAAAATTACTATTTTATATACCAATCACACTTAAAATATTTTAGAGTTAATAGACTAATTTTACTCCATACATTTTAAAATACTTATTAGTTAGTTATAATTATATAATAAATTAATACCCTTATCGATTTTTACGAGTATAAATACACGATATAACAAAAATAAATAAATATAGTCAATCATTCAAAATTGAAGTTAAATTAGTTACATATTAATTCACATTTAAACTTTTTTACAATTCAAACTAATACTAAATAACAATATATATGTAAGTAACGGCTATTATCAATGTGTTATCCTATATAAAGTTTACTACTTATATATTGTGCAACAAAACAATATTAGGCTTAAATAAATATCCAATGATAATAAAAAATTTATTTTCGTCTATCACTCAAATTCATATTTTTACGATCAAATATGCGTAAAAATAATAATGTTTCATAAAATTCCCGATACTATTATTAAGTATATTATAAACAGTCACTTAAACCAGTAATCAATTAATCAATAAATTAATTTTTAAGCATTTTTATGTGTAGATTGTTTATGTCGATGTTGGTAGAATTAAATTGAACAACAAAATTTAAATACAAGCGCAATAAGTACACTGACCCTAAAATATAAGGAGCGCAATTGATACATTGACCCTAAACAAAAACTTTGTTTTAGGCGCAATTGGTCCACTCTATACACTGTGCAAAATGTATTTATTTAACAATATACTATAATATAACTGTTATATTATTTTAACAAAATCTTCGATGTAATGGAACTTATTTGTGTATAATATATTACAACGGTGAGACCGTAAAAAATGACTATTTTACACATATGTATTTAATGAATATATTTAAAATTATCAAAATTATACACAATTAACATAATTGTTATTAGCTATAAGCAATAGACGTATATAATCGGTGGTCGTGATCTGTATTATGCCGCAATAACCAACGAAACCATTTTTTAGTATATTATGTAGATATCTACATTAATTAAATTTGAACTAAGATTGTCGTTCATTATGAAAAGCATCGGGAGAAGAAATATTACTGACCCTGTCCGTATAATTAAATGAATCCTCATAGATTTATAAACAGATTAGAATATATTGAAATAACTATCATTTTACGGGGACATTATCACAACATAATCCGTTAAGTCAGGTTGCATTATATAACTAACTTATATTATACATACACAACACTATAGGACATGGTATAGATAATATTATTGTACTGCCAATTTTATAGGGCGCATTGTTATTTATAGGCGAACACTGTGCGCGTGGAATATGCTGAACGTGGGATTTTCCATACAGAAGGTGGTTGGCCCAAAGACATAAATCTAGACGACCCTGAACAAATAGTTAGGTTCCGGAAAAAGGCGGAAAAGGATGAAATGTATTTACAAGCAGTTATGCAAATGTCTAACGTGAGTATAGATTTCTAAAAATAATTACACATAGGTAACAATAATAAAATACGATTTGCCAACAAAAGGACCTACCTACCTAATGATAACTACATATTATTTTCAAATTCGTTTCATAGATAAAAAAAACGTATAAGTACTATAAATCTCACAAATTATATACCTTATCCATTTCCCAGGTATTTCTTAAACACCTACATAACACTTGTGCAACTGTTAATATAATATTTATATAATATTGAAAATATTATGATTACTATGATTACACGGCGTTATGAGTAGATAATTTAGCTACATCTTTGTCACGTGTCATGTCACGCGTTTCCGCAGACGACGCTACATCCACTATTTTAGATATTCATTATTGATCTACATCTTAAAAAACAACACTGCAAATTCGCTTCTTACAAAATCAATTTTATGATGTTAGCTTTAATATTAAAGTGAATGGTCTCCTGTAATCAAATCTAAATTTAAGAACATCATCTGTGTATACGTTAATTTTCTATGAAATGTTAATTTTTAAACTCGTTTGACTACTATGATTCGATCCAGACGTTCGATATAATACGTATGTAATCGTATACTATGGTCGTGTTTTTCAGCTTGCCGAACACTTCATAAATCAAAACAATTCCATAGACATATACCAACCGTACTTTACCGACCCGAGCTGTCAAAATATGCAAACATTGACACCGTCTTTCCGGACGGTGGCGGTGATGTCGGACCCCCGTGAACCAATCCGACCAGTACAAAACATATCTTGGTCACCCGATCAGGGCACGTTGGTCGCGGTAAGCTACGCTGATATGAGATTTCAGATGACCGACCCAGACACCAGTTCCGACTCGTTCATATTCGACTTGGGTATGTGTGCGCTAAGAAACCGTCATGGCCACGATTCTCGTATAAAAACAACTAGTGATTTTAGCGATAATGTAATTTGAACGTTTCTTGCCCCACTCTTTCAGAGGACTCCACCACTCCTTATTTCACGATCGAGTCGCCGCATCCGATCGTCACGCTAGAGTTCAACCACAGGGATGCGCAGTGCCTGGCTGGCGGTCTGATGAGCGGCCAGGTCGCGTTCTGGGACATTCGCAAGAGCTCGACCAACGTGGCTATCAGCAACATAAGAGACGGTCACCGGGATCCAGTCCGAAGTCTCCATTGGATCCATTCAAAGACTAGCACCGAGTTCTACACCGGTTCCAGTGACGGTCAGGTACGCTACAAACAAACATATTTTGTAATGATAGTGTGATTTTTATTTTATATGATATTTTTAAATACGATAATAAAATAAAATGATCGAAATCTAAACCTTTATATTGTACACATATAAATTGGTGTTTCCAAATTACATGCAAAATTTATTATTTATTTAATCGAGTAATGTGCACAGTTTCTTTTTTTTTATATATATATCATAGCTGGTTTACACAAAATACGAGTGACATTGTCAGTTACATTTTTCAGTAAATGTATAAAACTGATCTAATTTATTTGTTATACACAGCGAAAAATTTCAAATCAAAATAAACAAAATTATATGTATAGTTATGCAATAATAAATTTGATAAATAATATTGCAGTCGAGTTTGTTGAAATCTAAAAATAATATAAATCAAACTGAAAAGTTAATTGTTGACAATTATAAACAACTAAATTTTATATAGATAATTGTATCATATACTTATGAAATTATATCCTCTATGTCTAATAATCCTATTATATATCCTTCCATCTATTATACTTATTGTAAATATAATTTATACAGATTGTACAAATAAAATAAATATGACAAAAAAAAAAAAAAGTCTAATAATCATTCTAATTCTAATTCTATTTTCTATATCTACTTATAATCTTGTATCATACTTAAAGAAACCCCAAAATACAGTTTATGCAATTTACTAGGTTTATTTATTATAATAATCGATATTCGTGCAAACCGGTAAAAACTAATGTATGTTCAAAATTTACACACGCCACTGGGCTTTATATCGCAATAAAACATGCATATTGTAAGTCGGTAGTCTACCGCATCGCACTTTTTTTGGTATGCAATTCGGATGCAACCATAAAAGTATATTATAATAAATAGGTAACATCGATATTTTTAATTAGTAAATTCAAAATGAAAATACCGATGGATATATATGCGATTATAAAATACATATATTTTACGTATATATAACCCACTCATCTAGATTCTAGGTCATACTACTTTCATTCTTTTTTTTAAGGATAATTTAATTTATTTATTGAAAATATTATTAGATTAAATAACACAGACAATTCTACGTAATGCAATTAATAACATGAATAAAAAATATTAATTAAATCTAAATATTTATAGAATAATTTTCCGCGATATTATGAATTGTTTTATTTTTATTCGTTCATGTAATACATTATTATCATTATTTTCACTACTTTTTGTTACGAAACATTCAATATAAAATGATAAATTAATATAATTGATGCCACGAAAATGAAAAAACTGCGTGATAGGTAAAATAAATATAATTTTGTTTCATTCGAAGAATGTTTTTACAAAAAATTTAATTAAAAATATCGATCTGTAGGCAATCGTCTATTTTGTTCCCCTTTAATCCGACACTGACAAATAATTATTATCATACTAATGAATGATTTTCGTTCATAATGTATAGTCTTTTTCTTTAGGTCATGTGGTGGGACGCCCGAAAACTTACTGAACCCACGGAAGTGTTGATTTTAGATTTATCGAAAGGGGAAAACGTTGACGAACCGGAATGGATGAAATGGACTCGGTCTCACGGAGTGTTTTGCATGGATTACGATCCTTCGATCCCCATACGATTTATGGTACGTATATTATCATCATATAACGATTACACACCGAATCTTTGACAATATTATGTAGGTACGTAATGTGATTTACGATAAATTTACCAATAGTATTTATGACACCCCGTCTTTCACCGCCATTTAGAGGTCATGTATAAATCTAACTCCCTCAACTATAACAAATACTAAATTAAACAATAAATATTATTATATAATTAATTTTTTATTTTATTTGATAATAACAATGGGGTTAACTGCTGTTAACTACAATAATATAATATAATGTATGTATATTATTATGTTATACGTGGATTATTTGTTTACAGCCTAGTCGAATTGCATTTTTATTTCTTAAGGCCAGGGTTATATATTTAACTCCTACGGACTTTTAACTGTCAGTTTAATTTAACTGAAAGTTACCTTTTGGTTAAGCTTTACTGAGAGATAAAGTATTGAATAATTTATCTTTTATTTTTTTTATCATTCAAACTTTTAACTGAACAATTAAAAATTATATTACCTATTCTTTATAATAAGTTTGTACTATATCACGACTGTAGTCTGTGGTTATTATATTTATATAAACTATAAGCACTTATATAGTTTTTGAATATATAAACTGTATTTAAAAATAAATACATATCGTATAAATTTAAAATATGAATATTCAGCCAAATTTGTTGTATGCTGATGAAATATTAGAATTTATTAATTATCCAAGAAGACCTTATACAGTATGAGAAATAATTAATCATGTAATGAAATGGGATAATCATGATTTTAAGATAAGGTTTAGACTTTCAAAATCGTTACTGAACAAATTTTGAAGCTAATAAGTTAATTAGTCCGTAGAAAAAGAATGGTAATTAAAAAAAAAAAAAATAATAAATAAAATAGTTTCATTATACAAATCAAGTAACAAAAATAATGATACTTTCTATTGAGTAAAAAATTACCTTTTTTTTTTTCTAAAGAAATAAAACAATAATTTTTATTTTTTACTGTGTTTGATTATAATAATTAAAAACATGAAATAGGATTTTGGGGGTCACGCAAGTATCAAATATCAACTCAGGGTTTACTAAACACTATTCTGTATTTATTTTTCATTTTCCCACATCGATATCAAATACATTATTATTTTAAAAATATAAACTTTAGATTAGAATTAGTTAATACAAAAATGACAGATTTTATTAAATAATTTTTAATTTCTTGATAAAAATTTCTAATCTTTTTACTCGATTATTAAAAAACTGTGCAATAACATAATATACAGACAAAGTTTTTCCTACACTACAATACTATGCAAATTTTTTTGTATACTGGCTACAGATGAACAAGCGCATATCTATAAATTACAGATGTTCCGAAAAAATTGCTTGATTTCTCACAGTAAAAAGGGCAACGGATTGTATAAACTATATACATTCGAACTTTACGTCCAGCTGGTTATCAATTATTAATTCAAACGTTATGTTTAATAAATAATCAGAAAGTCAGAAACCTCAAATCTTCATATATTTAGAATTTGAATTGTAGTGCTGCTACTATATAAAAGTGAAAGTCAATGGCCTTAACTATCAAAAGAATAACTCTCTTAGGCATTAGCATCTCCAAAATATTTAAATAATTTATGAGCAAATCTGCATAATTAATTAAAATATATACACGAAATTAAAATGTATGACAAATAGTTTTTTGTACTCTATAAATGATGCCTAAAATTATTTATTTATTATTTTATATCAAGTACATATTTTTATTTAGAACATAATACATTAATTATATTAATTATAATAACATTATAAAAGTTTATTTTAAGAAGTCATAATGCGCTGACATACTAATTATTTTAAAAATCGAAAAGAATATTTTTCATTAAACATCCAAACAGCTAGTTATTTCATTCAAATTTAAGATAGTGGATATTATAGATCACTGGTTAAGATCTAGCCGTTTTTAGAAATTTAAACATTTATAATCAACTTGCTAATAATGAATAGGACAATAGCTTAATTGTTTCAGATACTAGATACAAAATTACTAACCATAATTATGATCTAAGAGAAAAAATTGAATAATCAAAAACAAACGAATCAACAACCATTAGTTTTACACAATTTTTAACCATAGACAGTAATGAGTGATATCTAGATATATTATTTAGATACAAATTAATTGTCTACATCTTATTCAAATAATTAGACGAATTAGTTTCTAATTAATAGCTTGTTGTGAAATTCTCATGGATTCTTTTTAATAACTATTTACTCATTTACTCATTTTACATCAAATATAATATTATTAATATACTATATATATATATATATGAGTAAAAAACAATATAATAATATTTATTGGACACTATCCCCGTAATAATTGTATTTATTGCTATTACAATTATTATTATAATATTTTAATGTTCAATAACGATAGACGATAAAGCACCGGACTAGTAGTTATATATTTCTGTGTTTATATCATAATATTATTATACATAATAATTTGTACAATAGTTTAATTTCTAATTATTTATGCTATATAATATTTATATTTTCAAAAGGAACAATAAAGTTTTGTTCATAAATTATTAATTTGCTGAATTTATTTTAATTTCTCATTGAAATTTTAATTTATAGTTTGAATATAATATAAAAGGTCTATGTTTTATTTTAAGTGTTTTAAGTTAATACCAAAAAATATGTGTAAAGTAATAATAAAATTAACACCTAGGTTTACTTATTTGGGTTTCCAACCATGATTTTGAGTAGACTCTAGACGTATTTGTTAAACTTATATATTGAAATTGGTACTGTACGCCCATTATATTAAAAAATGTATTTATTATATACGTATCCTTAAATATAATTTTGACACAAAATAAGCATTCCTGGTTATGTCTCCTCTAATCTCATTACTCAGCTAACAATCTAATAGCATGTCAAGTATTAATAAAAATTGTTAGATAAAAAAGTTTTATCTACAAATTTATTAAGATAAAAAACGAATATTCTATCTATTTATTTAGCTAGTAATCTAATATTTATGTATACCTATATTATTTTTACTATCTAAATACTGTTCGTAGATATTCCATGATTCGAGTTCACCATTTTCTCATTATATTTTGTTTTTATTTTATTATTATTAATTTGAAAATTGTAATACATTTGTAAATATATACAATATGCTTATTTACCATGTATTCATAAGTATAGATAGGCACAGAGACTGGATTAGTGTTCAATGGAAATCGTAAAGGCAAAACGGTTTTTGAGAAAATATCATCTACGTACAACTGTCACTATGGCCCAGTGTATTCGGTGCAACGGAACCCTGCATTTTTAAAAAACTTCATGACCGTTGGTGATTGGCAAGTGAGAATATGGTCGGAAGACGTGAAAGAATCGCCTATAATGTGGACCAAGTAAGTAATTTATTACCAATATTTAATATCCTATATACACATGATTGCATGTAACAAAGTGACGTACTTAATCGAGTACACTTTTTATTACTTTAACCTATTTTATTAAATTACATACATCACAAGAAAATTTAATATATGTCTAAGAACTATTTATAGTGTAACTTTAAATGATCTGAGATACAAGTTGAATTTGAAAAACCAAGATATTATATTATGTCAAAAAAACGCTAGTCGTTTGGTGAAAATTTCAATTATCTACGGTTATTTATTTTTGAATTATAACAATGGTAAACATTTGATTTTGTCTTAAAATAGTATCACATAAATATTTTCGTTTTTCCGTAATTTAAAAAGTTTTTCATTAAAATATCAAGGAGTATTGAGAGTTTTGAACTTTAGATTACTCAAAGTACTAAGTAGATAGAATTTTATATCAAATACTTATTATAAAGTTAAGTATTTAAATATTTTTACTTCTCAGAAAATGATAATGGACACAAAATTAGTTCAAAAAATACATACATAAAGTTATTAAAAACATACATTAATCGTTTCGTTTGGAAACTAACGTTAAAAGATTCGCCACGTAAACACCAATTTATTTGTATACAAAATAAAATAAAAATATTAGATTAAATATAATTGTGAGTAAATAATTAATGATCATTGTTTTGTAGACATCATGACGTTAAACTAACTGGCGGTGCGTGGAGCGAATCAAAGCCATCGGTTTTCTATACAACCAGGGCTGATGGTTGCATGGACGGTTGGGACATCTTACAGAAGCAAAAGGATCCAATACTCACCGTTAAGGTATTTCCGATCAGTACTTCCTAATTGGCTTCTCAACTTCTGACTGATACCCGGATTATTTCATATGGTATATCCGTAAACTGTTTCTTGTAGGTTAAAGTTATTAATTGAAATTATTTTAAGTAATTGCTGAAAAACTTAAGACATTTTAACTTAACCTAACTTGAATACACTTTACAATAATATTTTATTTAATATTAAATTAAAACTATTATATACGAATGAGTTATATACGACCGTGTGTTCACCAATTTATAGAACACTAAATTTCTCGACCAAATTTTATTAAAATAAATCGAATTTTATTTTACAAGCTAGTGGCATGGGCGTTCTCGGGGGGGGGGGGGATATGGGTGATAGATCTCCCCTTAAGGTTCTTTATTTTCTTAATCTTAATTTACCTAACCTAACCTAACCTTACGACTTATTATGTAATCATTTTTTCATCCTCCTCCATTGAAATATCCTAAGAACACCTATGGCTAGTGGTATACTATAAATACACATTTATAAATATACGTACATTTCAAAATTTTTATCATTTCAGTATGTGCATGTGCAATAAAACATTATTTTTTTTTAAATAGCAACACCTATTTTGAAAAATCTCATTAGGACAGGCCTAATTTTTTAAGAAATATTGATAAACTTTGGTTCTAAATTAAAAATTGTCTGAAAGCCATTTAAATTTTAATAGATAATATATTTTTACAATGCATTTAAATGCATAAAACCATTTATAATTATTTATTATTGGTTACTTTCTGAATACTTTAACGAAGTTTTTTTTTATATACGCGTTATAAACAAGATTAATTTAATATGAATACACATTTATTTATTAAATATTAAATATCGATTACAACAGTAATTTTATAATTATACAATTAATTAAATAAATTGTTCAAAGTTTGTTCAGTTATTTTTGACGCATTATTGAAAACGTTGTAGACATTCTCTATTGCAGCTTGGTCACATAATTTGATTTTCAGTAAGGTTATTACACGCAACCACGATTTTATTTTTTAAACCTGCTAGATTAATTGGTGAATTTTTGTAAAATATTATTTTCAAATGTCCTCACAAAAAAAATTAAAAAACTATTCAAAAAGCAACCAATAATAAATAACTTTAAATGGTTTTATGCAGTTTAATGATTTGTAAAAATGTATATTATTTATTAAAATTAAAATAGCTTTTATTCAAACAATTTTAAATTTAGAATCATAGTTGAAACATCAAAATTATTTTAAAAATTAGATCTATTGGAATGGAGTTAAAAATAGGTGTCGCTATTAAAAAACATGTTTTATTGCGCACACAAAAACCAAAATAATAAAAATTTTAAAATGTATCTATAAATGTGTATTTATATATCACTAGCTTATAAAAAAAATTCGATTTATTCCAATAAAATCCATCGGAGAAATTCAGTGTTCACTAAATTGGTGAATACACAATATACTTCTACTTAATTCTAAAACCCATTCTTTTTCTTTTACTCGTATTATATATCACATTGTTATTTATTACTTATTAGACTTGTGCATTAGAGTATTATTATTGATATATTCTACACAAAAAGTACTTTATACTACCTGGAGTTCATTATATGTTCGTTTTCTGTAAAAATCTAATTTTATTATTTTTAGACATAAAAACCAAATCGAATATAACCTCTTCGGTGACCAAGAGACATAATGTCACAACGATAAAATGCAATTCTATACGATCTTGCTTTTCTTTTTGTTTCCATGTATTCTGTTCATAGGTGGCTGACAAAGGATTGAATTGTATTCGATGTCACGAAGGTGGTGCTATGTTGGCCGTCGGCGACGACTGTGGAAAGACCTACGTGATAAAAATGAACGATTGGTTCGTCACTGCCGGAAAAAATGATAAAGCTTTGCTGACAGCAGTGAGCATCATTACTGACTACCTAGTGATTAATATAAAAAAATGTATTAAATCAAAACTAATGATAACATTTGTATATATGATCAATACGTGTTTAGAAATACATTCTATATTCAAATGATCAATTATCTTTTTTAATCTGCAATTTATTGATAGATGTTTGATCGAGAAACGAGACGAGAAAAAATTATAGAGGCAAAACAACGGGAATTAAAATTAAAGACAAAAACGTCAGCAAAAGCTGACACCACTACGACAAAAGATAAACTCGTCCAATTGGCTGAAGCCGAAATCCGAATGGTAGAAGAAGCTGAAAAAGAATTCATGGAACTCATTGACATGATCGTGAGTTGTTGACTTTTTTGCAATAATCCGCGAATATATATATATATAGATTAAATAATATTTAAATGGAAAATGACAAAGGAAAAATAAGGTACACAAATTCAATTCTGTACCTACAAAATTTCGCCATAATATGTATTTTGGGCTATGGCTCTATTCAAAAACACTATTTTGCAAATTGAATTATAAATATATATATATATATATATATATATATATATGCATAAAATAATCAAATCTTTATCGCATCAGAGTGTTTTTGTTGAGTAAATTACTCTTCTCAAACTTTCATACTCTGTATATTAATTTTTTTCTTTACTCATACTCGAAGATATATATTTACTATAACTGTTATTAAAAAATATATATTTTTCTAATATTTATTAAAAATAAAAAAATAAAAGTACTTATAATAAACATAACATAGCATAATATAGTAAAATTGTCAATAGAATGGTTTTTCAATAAATGTCATGGTTATACAATTCCATGTAAATAATTGTAGATATTAATGCATATGAATATCGTACGATTTTTCTTTTTCTTTTTTTCTCTTTTTTCAGAAGAAACAACAATCGAATGAAAACAACGATAGCACACAGGAATTAGAAAACTCAAAGGAAAATGAAAATAATGATAATGTATTAATCGATCAGAGCATTATTGATCAATAATGACAAATGGTTAAAATAATAATTAATGTATTCGGGTGGAACAATAACTGATGTTCTTCATCAATCATAATGTAAAACGTTCTATAAACCCAGAAATGATTTATTAAAACATCAACATAAATTATACTAAATATACTTATAATAATCATTATATTTATCGGAAATTATTGAGTGAAAATTTACAACAAATAGTTTATTATTTGAATTTTTTAAAATACACAATATTAAATAAGTAAAAATTTGTTATATAAATGTAAAAGAAATATAATCAACGATTTACTTTTAACAATAAGTACAAATATTGATAGTGTCAAATATTATTAATGTATTGACTATTGAGTACAATAGTTAATATATTATATTACTTTATCAGCCGTTAGGATTTTGTTTTCGATTGTTTGTGTCAAAACTTTGTATATAAGTATAGGATATTATATCATTTAAACAAGTGTTCGAAGGTCATGTTTTCGAATGACAAGTATTAAAAAAGTTATTTGTTCGAGTAGATATATGTTCGAAAAGTCGTATGAATGAAATAATATATTAAATATCATGAGTTATTCATGAGAGCACAAGAATTGGGACTAGCCTATTTGCGTTACCCAAGAGGCACCACGTAGATGTTAGTTAGAATATCTCCCGAAAATTGTGTTTTTTGTTACGTTAAAATATTATATATTAGATTAATTTTAAGAAATAAAAAATATTATATATGTACCAGCTAAGGTCGCGCGGGCGGGTAATGGTTCAATGTCTAATCTAGTAACTCCAATATAGCCGATATTGCACCGCCATGGCCGTTGACCCTTATCAGGCGAAGAAGGGTAATTCAACTTAAGCTAAACTTTTAACTTTTGATATAGGCGATATAGGCGAATATCATCGCACTGGGGGGAGGGAGGGGCCGTTGACAATTTTTTTTTTTCATTTTATTTTTACTAATTTTAAAATATTAGATAGCTATTTTTAATTTAAATAAATCATTTTCATACATACGACTTTTCGAACATATATCTATTTAAATAAATAATTTTTCGATTACACTATTATTTGAACAAATAAATTTTCTAACACTTGTCATTCGAAAACATGGCCTTCAAACACATGACCCGTTCCGATTTAAATATTTTCGTATATTTTTTTAGTATAAAAAATGTTAAGTACTTTTATAATATTAATGAAAGTAACCACTAATGACTAACTTACATAAAAATACAACTTATTTAAAAAAAAAATCAATAAAACGATTTACTAAAATATTGAAGTATTTCATAAAATATTCATACATTTTTAAACATTAGATGTAGATATAATATTATATGTATTTGTGTACTATATTATATCTGTATGTATATAATATATATATATATATATATAATTATCCTGAAGATCACGGAAATAGTCCCTAGATCACTTTTATGTCCAGACACTCCGGACCTAACCTTATGCCACAGTTGTGAATAAGTAAATTATTCTGTCACATGGATAAATGACATTTTTAAATTAAATATTGAAAATCAATGAATACGGGTGTGTCTACGTAAACAATCTCAAAATAACAAACGGCCGACGCATAATAGAAAAGTCCTTGGCACGCAAAAATATTGACACAACAACTCATGCCTTTATTTAGGACCTTAAATATTGTATCGCTGTCACAATAAGGAAAAAGGCAAAACGGTGATAAAATATTAGATAAATCAGTAATAAGTAACAACTATAAGTAACCTAAAGAATTCTGAGCAAATGCCTTTAACTTGATTATAAACAAGACACTCCGATATAGACACTTAACTATACCTAAGCCTATTGGCTATTTATATTATTATGTTCTATTATTTCTATATCATACCATGGTATCTGTATAGCTGTAACTATATAACCTAAGATTCAATACACATTATTATTTATACATTATTATCATATAATAATAATCTGCACTTGCTCAGATTACACTGCTGAAATACAATTTGCTAAAAATTATCCATATTTTTTTTGATTTCAACCTATCACAAATTAATTACATTTTAATTGACAGCTGGCGGTCGACTTAAAATAAACCTGGAAAAAATTGTAAATGTGCGTACACTGTTGACATTTAAAACATCCAACCATATAATATCTTATTTTCAATTCCAAGAAATATCAGTAAAAACATTTTTGAAATCGAATATCTCGACTTTGAGTCTTAAATCCTCATCTCATGTCATAAAACAACTTTTCAACAGCTAATTACATTTGATACACCGATAATAAATCAAAGCACTCAATCGACAAAAAAAAATCATTGTGCCAAACTATTTTAAGATTGATGTGGATGAATGCGATTCAAATTATATGATATAATTATTTCATACAAATTATCTAAACACGTTACCTGGGATTTATAACGCTTGGTTACGAATGGTCCACTCATCTCGTTTTCGATACATTAAGAAAATACAATTAAAATCAACTAGATTTATAACCATAACAGTTAAACGATATATTAATTTCATTTTAACATACATTATTATATAAATAGGTAAATACTAAGTAGATACTTTAAGTTGAATTGAAATTTATTACTCAAATCTAAATATGTTGAAAATTATTAGTTCTTTTCAATCGTTTTTAATAATTCATCGTTTTTCGTAACTCAATATTTTTTTTTAATACATTCGATTTTCCGTTGCATTCTACATTTAAGTCTATACATTATACAATGTGTAAGTAAACATAATTTTTTTATTAGTGTTTGGTGTAATGTACTTCAATTAATTCCTAAAGGTGCTTTCCCATTTTTGCGTGTAACTCGATCACAGATGACAACATTTTTTTTTAGATTTACTTTAGTATACCTATTGAAGTTAAAACTGACAACCGAAACACAAAAACATTGTGTGCACACAACTTTAAAAATTAATGACGACACATTTTATTTTATATTTTTTCAAATAAATTTTAAAAATTATACATTTATACGGCCTGTAATAGATAACAGTTAAATCAGTTATTAGAGGAAAGTACTTAAAATATATTTCTGAAAATAATTTCTGTTCATCATGAAATCAACATAATTTTGCAAAATAGTAATAATTAAATTATATATAATAATTTTAGTGACATTGATTATAAATACAAAGATACATAATAATTAATGCTGTACAATATACTCACAATAATACTAATGTAAAATAAAAATATCGTCGGTACTTATCAATAATTATTATTTATTTTATTTATTTATTTTGAGATATTTAATCGAAAAAATTGTAAATAAATATATCATATATTTCTTACGTCTGTATAATTACTCTAATTTTCATTGAAAACTTTATGTCGGTATCTATACAATTGTATATTTTGAGTAATTAACAAACATTTTTGTAAAAAAATACTTTTTAAATGATATCAGAATAATCAGTAATTATGTCAATTTTTTTTTTTTTTGTAATTAAGTCTATATGTAAAAAATACATTAACTTTATGCCTATGTGTAAATAAACTAATAGCGTTTATAAATTTAAACTTTTTTACAAAGTATCTGTTCTTACATATTACTAAATAATAATAAATTATTTCACTCGATTAATCACTACAATTAATTTTGTTATTTTAATTTCATCATAGTTTTAAGATTTTTTGATTTTCTACTACTGATAACCTGACCTTTTTTGTAGATCATTCTCTTGTTTTATTTGTGTAATACATTTTTTTTCATTTTATGCGCTTTTATTTTAAAAATGTTCTGCTTGTGAAACAAATATATAAATATGTTACCTTATGTTAAAATCGTGATATTATTTTCCTGTGAATACAAATCATAACTTTACTTTCAAACGTTGAATTTTGCCATTCAAAGATGTCCACGTTTTAACATGCTGGAATAAAGATACATTGTGTTTCATGTTTCATCCATATAGCGTCTTTTCTTTTCTTACAATCTTTCTACGAACAATAATTAATAAAATAGCTTAAACACCTTAAACAATTAAAAATTACTTGTTTGAATTTTATTTTGTATGGTTCAAAATTTACAAACTTTAATTTAATTTTTAATTTTTAATTTTACTGAAAAAATACTTAAATACGATAATAATCAATACGGACTTTATACCTACGATTCAAAATTTTTTCCAAAGTTTAATAATTGAAATGTCAGTTATATTACGTAATATTTTGTCTGATAATAAACATTTTTATAATCTATATATAATATATATATAAATTAATATAGTATAAATGGAGCTTATGCCTTTAAGACTTAAAAAATACTGAACCGATTGAGACTCGGGGTATGTTCATAGATTTGTTTTTAATCCCGATAGATTATTATAAGGTAGCTCATATTATATACATTTCGTTTTTGGCTCATGCAAATTGAACGTCTTTGTTTATATTAAAGGTTGCCAGTGGTTATATTAATACACAGGTATATGGCACATCTCAATCAAATCACTTCATAAGCGAGATACGTTAATACCAAAGAGCCCATAAACTTATATGTACACTAAAAATTATATACTCCTATATAACACCATATTTTGTTTGCTCATTTTTCGGACTAAGTTAAGTTATACAGCTATTTTATTATAAGTATGAATTTACTATGATAAATACCATTAAAAATTTACTCACAAGATCTTTGTCATTGCGATAAGCTTTTGTTTGCATCATTTCATTCAGCAGCCAATCCCCTGGTTTCTCGTTATAAAACATCACGATAAATTGTATAAGCCACGGTAAATCCGAACATTTTATCGTTTTTCTAAAATAAAAATGTACATTATTCCTCTATAGTGACTTAATATTTGGTTACTACAACGGCTTTTACCAATAAAACCAAGTCCACCAAAATCGTATATGAACCACTCTTTTTTGTCGACTATCCACTGCATAGCCGTTTTTTTCATAAAAGTTTGGAATTGCAGCTTCGTGATTAGGTCATTTTTGAATTGAACATAAAACGATCCTTTTGGTTGATAATACATCATCAAGAAAGCAAAATCCAAATTTTGTTTGCTCCTTCAGCGGTACCGTTCTTGAGTGTCATTGAACGTAGGTAACGTGAATCTTACTGAAATCTGGATAGTATTCTGCGGTTGGAGCAATTACTTCTACAAAGCCAAAGTTCACTGCATCTGGTAACCTCAATTCAAATAATATTCAACAATA